GATCAGTCGCCGGCTTCTGGAAGGCCGCTCACTGCGGCTGCTGCCCACTCACGCTGGCTGCTGGCTACACACGGTAGCCCATGGCAACCCCCACACCGTTGCCGGCGACTCATGGCAGCCCAGCTACAGGTTGAGCTGTTGTTCAGCATCTTAGCTGTAGAGGGCAGTGTCACTGGCCCGCATGTGGGATCCTAACCGGGGCCCTCTGGCGTCCCAAGCCAGCTCTTAACCAACGCACCACTCGGCTGGCCCAGAAACAGGATATTCTTGCCACTGATTTACTCTTGTCTCCTTCTCCTTTTACTCGTTTTCAAATCTGCATGCCCATTGGGATCAGAATTACTTTTATGACCTCAAATGGGAGAATACTGTATTTCAATTTAAGTCAAGGAGAAGGTATTTTATGAAACCCTCTCTTTACTCTGACCCTTTACTTCACCCACAAACAAATGAAATTAGATTTTTAAAGTGGATCACTGAGAGAAAAAGTTGCTGGGGATCCTTTCTAAGCATTAAGCCACCCTTATGAATACTTCTGTTTATGGTGCCTTGCGTTGTCTGCTTTTTATTTCTCTTAAAACCATTTTCTATGTGTTCTTAATGGCTGCTGATTTTTTTTTAAGGCTGCTCACAAGCCTTGGCTACTCTGCTAGCCTCTGTTTTGTCTCTCTTGAAGAAAATATCCTGCAAAATGGAGAGAAACACATCAACCTTGACTGTGGTCCAAGTTATTAAAACAAGGAAGAAGTTATTCTCTGGGGACATGGGTAGGGGGAGTGGGAAATCGAACACAATAGAAATGTTAAAGGAGTGCTGAGCAAAATGAATGTCCCTTAGCTGGTCCAAGAAGTTCACAGACTGTTGGGAACATACAGTATTTGACCTGTGGTTGCTTGAAAGGAAAAACGAAAGACTCGTGATGAGTGATGTATGGTGCAAACAAAGCTGCGCGTTTTGGTAGGGCCAAGGCTGTCGAATCTGGAGAAAATCCCCGCTAGACATGGTCTCATCCCTGAGAACCTGTGCCAAAAGAGATAGCTGTCTTCTCTGGCTGGGAGTTCTAATACACAGCCCAGCACCTTCTCTCGCCAGCTCATGAACATAAGGTACTCGTCCAAGAGATTTACTTCTTGAAAATACATAGCCTGTTTTCAAGTGCCTCCTGGAGCTTGAGACACAAAAGCAAAGGTGGAGGGAAGCAGCTCGGTGAATCCCAGCATTCCTGAGGGTACTCCTCCACCCGCAAGCCCAGCAAAAAGTTGTTAATTTCTCCTTCTAAATGGTTACATCGATGCCTTGTAAGCAGTTCTTTGCCTTGCCTTGGACTTAGCGAGAGTCTGTTAGCCATAGTGGGAACAGAATGTAGGACCCCTGGGTTTGCAGGATGGAGATGGAGACGCTGACGTAAAGCTGTGTCGTTCCTCTCGGATTAATCCGATTGCTGCTTTGCCTTCACTTCTCACTTCCCTGCTGCCACTTTCTCCTCTCTAATTGTTCACCTTTCCCACCCTTTTCTCTTTGGGCTTTATTCAGTTGATATATTTAATGTTTTAATTATGTATATAATGTATCTAAATTATAGAACCACTAGAAAATACACATATATAGGGGAGGAAATTAACACTCCCCCCAACAGCCCAGTGAAACTAATTACTATAATGTTGCATATGCTTTTAGACCTTTTTCTATGCATGCATATGCATTCGTGTCCTTTTCTCTTTTATAACAAACGATTGG